ATTTTTAAAGGTATTTAAAGTACCTAAAGATACAGATGAGCACCTCTTGGGATTTTCAGAAGTGCCTAGTCAGAAATATCTTTAAAAATACAACTTCCGGTGATTATCATTAGAAAACCACCCTACAGGACCATGAGACAAGGAGGCAAGCACACCCACCTTGTAATCACAGTTCTTTCAACACCGACTTCATCCCTCGCTTGAGGCCAAGCATATCACCCAAATGAACAGCTGCTAAATTATTGTGGTTTGCCTTCAGATTGAAACATGCTAACCTTCTCTCCCACCTCTTTAACAGATATGATAGTTTCAGTTGTCCACCTTACAAGTCATGAAATGGCTAAAATAAAACACAAGTCGACTTTAACATTGGCCAAAGCATAGTGGCAAATGTGAGCTTTTTAAAGAGGTTGCAACTATACATTCTCAGGATGCTGTTTCTATCAGATCTCACAAGCTAAGCAGTCATGTGGATCTGTCATAGATTATCTCTAGGTGCTGCACAAAGTTGAGCAGTGTTCAGTTGTCATTTTTTCATTTTGGTTCTGAAAGATGTCCCACTGATGTTGGTGGTTTTGTCTGATAGAAGGCTCTGTTGGTGATCACAAAAGAAACTATAACGCTTTTCATGAAGTATTGTTAGGGAAAAGAATACTGCCACTTCATTGTACCTAAATTTGCTGTTTGACTTCATTCTGAGTCTGCATTCTTCACTGTCGTGCCCTAAATTTATGTATTAAGGTTTTTCTCATATTCATCATCTTTTGTAATAATGAGTTACACTTAAAGCATGAGCTGAATATGTTGGTGTCAGGTGGGGAATATATTTCAGTCACTTTATTGTTGGCTTCCTATATCTGATTCTTTAAAGCAACAATCCTCCTTTTTATTAATATGGAGTTAAAAAAATACTGAATTGTGTTCCTTAGAACTTTTTTTCTTAATGAACATGATTTCTCCTGCCTGTAGACAGTAGTGTAATATCTTTACCATTACTTATTACAGGATGCCTTTGTCACCAAAGACTAACAAAAATAACTTATCTTCTGTTTCTCTCTCTCAAAAAAAATCTTTACAAATAACAGATTTTGCTTGGGGTTTTTTTACAGGTATTTTGATGACATGGATGATGAGATGGATCCAGAAATAGAAGAAGCATATGAAAAATTTTGCCTAGAATCGGAACGTAAGAGAAAGCAGTGAGATGTTAGAGATTTAAATATTAGCTTAATTAAGGCAGTTTAGAGATGAGTAGCAAGCAGGGACACCACAAATCTTGTAATATTTGTATCAAACTGAAGTTGAGGGGGGGTTGAGTACTAAAGTTATGCAATTTCCATTTTGTTAAACTGAATCTGCCAAAAACTGTAAACTTACGCCCTGTAACTTAATATGTTGTGTATATATCATAGTTTATTTTATGTACAGTTAAATGAACAGTGTTCTGGCTGCAATAAAATTGATTTGAGAAATGTCACACTGAAATAAAACTTTACTAACTGGGAACTGTTCCATTAAATAATGATACTTTTCTCATGGAAAAATAAATTGTTAAATGAATTGCTTACTTATTTTAGCATACAGTAAGACTGGCTTCACCCTTTTTAACCATATGGGAGTTATCTGGAATTTCACATTTTTAGGTTAATTTTATGTGATGGTAGATAGATTTTTTTTTTTTAATCCTCTTCCCCCCCCCCCCACAGTTTTGCAAGATCTAGAATTTTCTTCCATGATGCACAGAGTATTTTTTTTCTTCCTTCATGGAATAAATATTTTTAATATATGATATTGTTAATATATAAGCACTGATTTGGAAGCCAGGTGCTTTAAGGCCATTTGGTTCAGAGAAGCTATTTCCCAATTTTCTAAGAGAAAGCTACCACTACATGTTTTCCAATGTTCTTCTACACAAATACAGTAATGTAACTAGATTTTTAGCTTATTCTACACCGTAGTGTATGCAGCTTTGAATCAACATATTCTTGAATGTATTTAACATAACTAACATGTTGACACTGCTGACAGAACCCTAGAACTTTTATTTTTTTCATATGACAGGTAATTTATATAAGTTATTTTCTTGATTCTGTAGTTTGGGCTGTATCAATTTTTACATTTCAGAAATAGTAACAAAATCTTACCTCCTTTGTTTCCAATGTAATTGTGTATTTTATGGCTTTTCCAGGAGAACTCTACAACAGTCCATGTTGTCTATATTTCAGTAGTACTGGTTCTTGACATTTGGTGTAGGATAATTTGGGTAGAACCATAATTGTCAAAATCAAAATGCTTATGCTTCAACTTCCCAAAAAGTACATAAAATGGCTTATGTAAAGAGAACATATATATTGTAAATATGCATGTAAATAATTCTATTAATATTGCACTGTAACACATTTGGTATGGTACCTTGTGTGTTGCTAATGCAGTTATCATTGACTACATTTTCTGGATGTTTGTTCAGCATATTCATTTAAATTAAGTTTCAAAAAATAAAATCTAACTTGCTTTCTTTCCCTTTGTATACTCTCGCTATGCTTTGCCATCTTGCTTTACAAGAAAAACAAAAAAAGCTCATTAAGAACATTTTCCCGCCTGTTTCCTTTAATAGTATACAACTGCATTAATGAATTTTCTCCCCTCTAATACTGATTTTATGAAACATTCTTACAAGAATGCTACATTTGGAAGTAAAATATAAGCATTTCAGAAGGTCCAGATACAGTCCAGAAATTGTAGATAAGTGTAAATTTAAATCACCCTTTTCACAATGTCAGTTTCTGTTTTGCCCATTTTCAGGTGCAAATATATCAGCAGAGAAGTAATGTAACTAGATCTATTAAGCATTTTTCTTGCAAAGAACTGGGTATTTTTAAATCCAAAACCAAGGTCAAACTCCTAAGTGACTGTAGACCGGTGCTTTGGAAAAGCATGGTAATAAGAATGGGAAATCTCTTCAAGCTATGTGCAAAAAACAAGGAGTAAATGAGCTTCTATTTAACTATGTTTTGAATTTAAATGTATTGTGTTTAGGCAGTAGTGCCTCCAGAGATTCTGTGCCTTTACTAAAACAAAACTGACAGTCAGCATTTCTTTTCTTCAGCCTGAAAAGCAACTGTCTGACTGGATGGGTGGGTGTGTGTATCTTGTCTACCTGCAGGGAGACAGTTTGTAATAGATCTAGAGTTTATGCTATAGAACATGTCTGTTTATATGTAAATATTTGTACACTTGTTTAAAAAAATGTTTCAGTATGGATTTAATTGAACTGTAGATGTAACCTGCATTAATAGAAACTTTTAGGGGGGGATTTTGCCTGCCTTTTGTGGGTTTTTTAAACCAACCTCACCCTGCATGTGCAAACAAGTGCACCCCCCTTAATTTAAGTTAAAGATATAGCTTATACATACATGTGGAAGGTTTGTAAGAAATTCAGGTTCTTTTTTATTGGATTAGGAAAAAGATAACATAAAAGGAAAAGATGTTTTCATACTTACAATAGGGCAGAAGTAGGATTAAATAATCTTTTAACTTCATTTCCTTATTCTTATGGTCTTAATTTTCAGTGTTAAAAAGATTGTTTTGAACATGCACATATCCCATCCTCCAGAGATTTATTTATTTTTTAAATCGGGCATTTTTAAGAAGCACTGTCAGCTGGGGGTTTCTTAGTAGTGTTTAAACTGATGTTGCTATTTCCCTGATCCCTGCCTCTGCTTCCTGGATGTAAGGAAGGACTGAGTTCCAAGCAGGAGACTTCACTGGTAGAAACCTTCAGGTAGAAAGCTGTGTTTCAATTGCTAATTACCAGAATTCCTCTCTTCTTTCATCCCTGGCTGGCTTATAAAAAAGAGAGACAAAAGCATAGTATAGTTCTGTTGACTTCGCAAGAAATTCAAAACCTACTTGCCTACTTCTGAAGCTGTGCAGTAATAAAAAGGGCACAGTGAATGGTGAAAGGGAAGTTTGTTTATCTGTTGAGCTGATTCCTTTTTATATTGCCCTTGTTATGCCTGTTGTTTCATTCAGTATCAGCTCTGGTTTCTTCGGTATGTGCCTCACCTTCCTGCATACTGCTGTATGAACAGAGAGGAAGCTGCTACTGTCGTTGCCACTGAAGAATTGGATTCAGGAAACTATTCCAGTAACATTTAGCTGCCAAAGCATTGTCTGTCCCTTTCAGCTCTAAAATGGTGACACTACCCTGACTGGCTCAGAAGCCCAATGAGCACTTAATGTTAACCAGTGAGACCCAAGAATATTTACACCCCAGGTGAATTGTAATGACATACTCCAGTTAAAAAGGATAAAAACCGTAACACATTAATATTGGCACAGTTGAGCAAGAGATGTGTGTTGCCTCATTCACTGTTGTAGCAGATAGTTTTTTTTTAAAAAAACTAAAATCATATTTATGTATTTGATTCACACACTGCCCTTCTTAGGAAAAAAAAAAAAAAAAAAAAAAAAAAAAAAAAAAAAAAAAAAAAGGCTTATTTGATTAATAACCTGTCCTGAGCTTTTTAGGGAAGACAGCATACCACAGAAGACATATATAAGTTTATAATATTTTCTGTGAAGCGCTGCAAGTCTTAAATTAAAGAGCTGCTTGGGAACCACAGTTTGACTTGCTGCTTTAGAGGAACAGAGAAATTTCTACTGTGTGCTTTAACATCTGCATTGAAATTTCCCTTGGATGACTAATTCAGCTCTTCTCTGCATATTACCTTTCTCGTGTTCTTTTATCTCTCCAAGCTGTGCATCTTGGCTACACCAGCGTTTGGATGTTGCAGACTAGATGGCCCTATGTTTAGTTTGCCCACCTCCTCCAGAATGGTCTAAGAAAGGGATGGAGAAAGCTGCTGCTCAGGGATGCTGCAGCAGTGTACAGGTGTTCATTCTAGTGTGAGAAACTCTCAAGGGGAGATCTTCTAGGTGTCAGTCTGGAAGATCATTCTCCCAAATGGGCATGTTCTTCCAGGAGAAAGTGAATGAACATCTATCTATATGCTATCAGTTTACCAGAACAGCAGTTCTCCCCATAGAAGCGTAATGCCTGCACATGGCCTTTGAATCCTTTTTCCTTTAAAACAAACATCCTTGCTCTAATTTAAAAACAATATAAATACTATGAGCATTTTTGCCAAATATAGGTTTCCATATGCAGCCTCATTTGAAAAAATAAACTCTTATAACTTACGTTGCTTGTCTACACACACATTTGTGTGTAGACAAACTCTGTACGTTGAATAGTACAGGAAAACTTCCTAAGATCCAGCTGTTCCCTTGGCACTATAAGGAAAAAACATATTTTTGTTGAATTCATGGTCTTCAATCTTGTACAATGGTCTGTGAAACCTATAATGTCAGGCAAAAAATAGGTTCCTAGATATGAACACTGGAATTGTGATGCTAGAACACACTTCACTTTTTATAGTGCTTTTAAGTGCTATAACCATGTCTATGGGCATCCTTAGACATCAGAGGTGAAGTGGGATTTGGGCTTATAGCTCTCTCATTCTTTTTTGGGTAAATAAAACTTCTCCCACTGTAATGAGTTTTATCTGGCTCCTACCTATTTTTGTGGCTGTTTTCTTCACCATCTCTATTTTTTCAGTATTCTTTTTAAGATATGAACATTAGAACTGGATGCAGTGTTCCAGGATCTGTTTCATCAATGTTGTATACAGTGGAGAAAACCTCTACTTCTACTTACTCCTCCCATTTATATGTGCAGGGTAGATACGCATCTATCCACAGGGATCACCTTACTCCTTTTTCCCGCAGCACTTTATCTGAGTTCAAGTTACATTGCTTCTATATCCTGTATCAGTCACTGCTTTCCAAGATATGGTATATGTGGACTGCACTCCTTCCTAGAAATACAACTTTGCATTTAGCTATGCTAAAATGCATTTGCTTTTTGTTACTGAGTAATCTATGCTCCTCTGTACAGCTTCCTCACCTTCCTGCATTTACCTAATCTTTACATTGCCCACAAATTTTATCATTAGTGATTTTATTTTTACTTCCACTTGTTGATTAAAATATTGGGTCTATACCAATTCCTGCAGAACCTGACTTCTGCCTTTTCTTCAACAGTTTTCCTATCTCAGTCTTACAATGGCTAAGATTTCTTCACTGAAAAAAAATTGTTAATCCTGCCAGCCACGATTTTTTTTCCAGATGTGGTCACTTCTGTAGTCAATGATCCTATCTTCATGACTTCTACTTGATATCAATTGACATATATTTTCCTATTGTTATGTATTCTACTTTGCCTTTAATTTAACTAGCTGCCTTCAGTTAGCAGCTGAAACAGGAGGGGCTAGTGAAGATAATAGGTATAAATTTTCATGGAGGAGCAAGTGGTTTACAACTGTTTCAGGTTACTACTCCCATGGTTGGTGGCCTTATTCACTAATTTGTGACAGGAAAAACAGTTCTATAAGCTTTTTATACATTTTAATAAGCAAACTACTTTTGGATTTGAATTGGCTTGCAAAGTTATAATTTCTATTAAACTACATCTGAACAGTACAACATCCATTTCCGGTTACACTTCAAATATCCATCAATAAAGTCAACAACTGATCAGATCATCAGCTGAAAGAAACCCAGTAAGGTTCAGCTCATGCAGTTACACATGATAAGATCAATTATTACAAATAGTAACTATGGACACCTGATCGATCTAGCATGTTTTCCAGCACATGGAAGCTGGGCATTTTAAGGTTCCTGTTTATCAAGTGATCTGTGCCATTCTACTTTTGCATAAATGTTCCTACTTAGATGCAGCTTCTGGCTCTCGATATTCCCCTTTTTTTTTAACAAGTTGGAATGATAGAGGATAATTTAAGGCAGAATTTGCTAGGAATTTGTGTATACTACCACTTAACACATCCACCATTCCCTCACACATTTAAAAAATGTGAGAAAAATAACAACTAGGTAGGTATCCTCACTGTAACCAACATATATTCAGACCATTATGATTTCAGTTCTACCTCAGTCTATACCTGGGCACCTCCCCAGAGAATTTCTGAGAAAATCTGGTGATAATTCCAGTGTGGACAAGGCTACCTTTGATCAGTTTGGAGCATCCCAAATACCATCTTTATGAGCAGTTCCAGTATTATCTCTTTAAAACCACATTGATTGGCTCCAAAATATGAAATGCATGGGATTAAAAAATGAGGACTTCACATGATTTCAACAAGTAACAAGTGGGGTGCAGGTGACTATGTTCCTTAAGTCCTAATGAGATTTGAATGTTTCTTACCAGCCATCATATGTTCCACCCATTCAGAATTTAATTCTCAGCATTTTTTTTAAATAGATTAAGGTCTGTTTACCAGCAAGGAATTTGGGAAGTAAGAATAATTTTGCTTACTCTGTTATGGTAAAGATTATTCCCTGGTGACAGAACTGTTTCCTATTCTCTTAATGTAAGCTTGTGTAAACTGCAAAGTCCTAGATATACTTGTATGTCCTTACAGATTTTTAAGTTTACATATTCTCCACCTAACTCAATTAGCCTTTTTATGGCTTTCATCTCATAAACCCTTTTTTTAAAGAACTCCCATTTTTCTAATTTTTCCTCCCAATTAGTTTCACTTCAGTTGTAGGAAATTAGTCTTTTTGAAGAGAGAGAGAGAGAGGTAAGGATGTGTTCTGTTGGCCCAGGTTGACAATGATCAAGTTATGAATACTGGTCCCTAAAAAGACATAAACTTTCAGTCTTCCCATCTATCCAACACAAAATTGTGCATCAGGATGAGATCCAGAAAAGAATTACCTTGGTGTGGGATGCAGTATATAGTGTGTGTTAGAAAATGCTCAGCTCTTTTCTTTTTTTAAGAAAAGAATGTTTTATTACTGGCTTAATGAAATCTTCATAAATGCATCTGTCAAGCTGGAGAGTCCACCTAATAGTATTGTTTTCCTTTTCACAGGTCCTTAAATATTAACTCGCCCTGTTGTCCGCTTTGCTTCGGTCTGTAACAGCCAGGAGGTAAGATTTCCCCTTCCTAGTATCAGCAGCTGCCGCGAGGTAGCCCCGGACGACGCAGCAGCGTTTGCCCGGGGTGCGAACAGCGATCTCGGCGGCGGGGCGAATCGGCAGCAACCTGCGGCTTCAGCGGGGGCCGAAGAGTGGCTGACAGCTGCAGTGGGGCGTTACACAGTACTGGGTCAGGCAGCTCGTACCTCGGCCGTAGCCCACGACACGTGCAGTGACCGTCCTACCCCGGGCAAGAAATTAGCACTGGGCGGTGCCAGGGGCGGTACCTCCTGGGCAGGCCCCGCCCCGCCCGGCCTAGCCTGGCCTGGTCTCCCTGATTGGGCCGCTGCTAAGCGCCGGGAGCCGCGAGTTCCCGCGGGCCGGGCCGGGCTGGGCTGGGCTATGGAGGCAGCGGCGCTGCGGGCGGATGGGGCGCTGGAGTCGCACTACGCGGACGGGGCTCGGCTGCTGCTAGCGCCCTGTGGCGCCGAGTACGTGCTGGAGCAGCCGCCGCCCGCCCGCGCCCACCC